ACCAGGGAAGCTCAGAGGAAATGGTTGGCATAGGTGTCAGGCTCCTTATCGAAAGTAATGATGAGAAATTGGAGGTCATAGGCATGGTGATGGGAATTCCAAGGCTTCCTTTATACATACTCTGAAGGATGACTCCTCCAACAGCTGACAGAAGGTGAGAAATCATTGGGGGAAAAGCGAGAGGAATAGCAATAAAGGCAAATACAGAGTGGACTTCACCTCAGTGATTCAATAAAAATACAGCCACATTTTTTCTTAAGTGAGGCATAATATGTGGCAAAGAGTTACAAAAATACTGGGAGCTAAAAAAATAGAAAGACAAGAATGCTTAAGTAACCAATTTTTCAATATAGACTACATTTCTGGCACTATCTCCCAGCCAAAAAAAGAAATTCTGATCGATGTATCTGTTTATTCTTTGTTTAAACAATAATGAAAATTAGAATTATCTAAATTTAACCCCCTTAAAATTCAATTAGGAATGAAAAGTTTAATTAATCTTATACAAATGCTCACTGAGTGACAAGAAACTCGTGGGAATAAAAGCTTAATTACACAAAAATTATGAACACTCACCTTTTTTAGATAAAGGAATAAATAAATAGAAAAAGAATTAAGTAGTTTACTTGTTGAGTAAAAGTAAAAGCAGCTTACTTGTTGAGTAAAAGAACTAGAATTTGAGGAAAATTGTATAGTTTTCTTTTTATAACAATTTTACATGTCAATGTCTTATATTTCAGAACTGGGCTCAAGTGTTACAGTCTAAATGTATGATCAATGCCTCAAAAGGAAACAGTAAAGGTTATAGCCAGCTGAACTCTAATTTATAACCCTATACAATATGTGGGAAGGCTCACTGCATCAGTCAGGGCCCAATCAGGAAACAAAAACCATACAATTATTGTAATAAGTAAAGCTAATACGGTGAATTATTAACTAGTAAAACGGTAGTTAACTAAAAGAGTTAAACAAGGTTTAAGTCAGTAGTACAGAAGTAGAATCTGTACAACACAACTCTTACCCATAGATCTTAAGGACAGTGAATGAGGCAGATACAAGTTTCAAAGAGCCCCTTACCATGACCAACACCAAGCCTAAGCGTCTGCATCTCGGTACAGGTTGTGCGCCCATAGGAACTCTACTGGGAACACAGAGATGGCGAGAGTGTGGAGACCCCAGAGGGTGTGGGACACACACAGTCCGCTGGCCACCTAGACGGCAGAGGGTCCATCAGATGCTGCAGGCTACATCAACCGCGAGATGAGCACCATCAGGTTCCCCACATACTAATCCGTTAAGGCCTGGTAGAAATCAGCACTTCAGAAAACGAAACAAAGCCCCTTCCTCCTGTTCTGCCTTTGCTGTGTCCTACCAGGCCTTTGAATTGCAGAACCTAACAGCAAGTCACTCGCAAAAGAGGGACATCTCTCAGGCCCACCTCTGATAAGACAAGAAATAGCAAAGAAGAATGCGGGGAAGAGAGGCAATACAACGAATGACTGGCAAGCTGGTACTTGCACCATCTTTAGTTACGGAAACTGACGCAGTCAAATCTGTGTAAGGTCACAGGTCTATGCTTACCGTCACAAATGATAACTTCTTGGTTCCTATTTTTAAATTTGGTTACTCATTGTATCATTCTGACTATTCAGCAGAAAGTACACTGATGGCATAATTTACTAGCTTAACATTTTATTGAGGTATATATAAAGTACATGAACTTTAAATGTACAAATTAATAAATTTTTACAAGTATATACACACATATAAAACTACAAGTCTATTATCTATACAGTCTATACAATCCATGGAATTCTCCAGGCCAGAATACTGAAGTGCATCACTTTCCCTTCTCCAGGGGATCTTCCCAACCCAGGAATCAAACAACGGTCTCCTGCATTGCAGGCAGATTCTTTATCAACTGAGCTATCAGGGAAGCCCAGAGATAAAGTACATAAACTTTAAATGTACAAACTGATGAATTTTTACAAGTATATACACTCATACAACTACAAGTCTATTATCACACTCAAGACAAGTCTATTACCAGCACCCTGGAAAACTCATTCTGGCTGCCCCTCAAAAAATAATCATTTATATTTTAAAAGTTCCCTTAAAAATCTTTACTCTCTTTCTTATTACGTGTTTAGTACAACTAATAGGAAGTACAAAAAAAAAATAATGTAGCTTTTTGTAATGGAGACTAAACATGCAAGAAGTTACTTTGAGACCTACTTAACGTTATCATTCCATCTTTCTAAAGTAGTCAGAGCACTGTAGGATAATTACTGCATTACTCTTGTTTCTGTGCAAATTGATAATTTATCAATTTCTTTCTCATTTTTTCCAGGGGAAAAGGGAATGACATATAAAGAATACATATAGCCTCAAATAATCCTCTGCCATTTTTCATAGAGACAGAGATGGAATTCAAGGTTTTCTAAACTTTTCTACAAATACAAAAAGTGAAAGTCACTCATTCACTGTCCAATTCTTTGCAACCACATGGACTGTAGCCTGTCAGGCTCACTGGTGCATGGAATTCTATAGGCAAGAATACTGCAGTGGCTAGCCTGTTCCCTTCTCCAGGGGATTTTCCCAACCCCGGGATCAAACCCAGGTCTGTCCCATTGCAGGCAGATTCCTTATCATCTGAGTCACCGGGGGAGCCCAGTAATACTGGAGTGGGTAGCCTATCCCTTCTCCAGAGGATCTTCCCGACCCAGGAATCAAATCAGGGTCTCCTGTGTGGTAGGTGGATTCTTTACCAGCTGAGCTACGAGTGAAGGAAGCTGTCTCTCTAACGTACAAAAATTCTACATGCATGCAAAACAAACTACTAAAAGAGCAACAACAACCACCACCTAGCAATAATGCAGGTTATTAAAGAAGTGATTTAAATGCATGCAAAAACAGAATTTTAAATACATAGTAGACTGTTTCTTCAAAAGTCATAGCATTTAACATTTAGCAAATGTGGAGTATACTTTTATTATATCATTTTTTAGCAAACAGTGAAGGGAAAGTAACACATTAAGTAGAGAAGGCAGGGTCTTAAAAAATATTTTAAGACAATATTTAGATTTTAGAACTGTTCAACTTTTCAGCTGAATAAATTTAACCAATTAATTGCTCAGTAATCCAATAGACTCAAAAAATTTTATATTATTGGCTTTTCTTATCACTCTGGATGTCTAGATTTCTAAAACCCCATTTTAATATTTTGCATTATCATATAAAATTTAAAAATTGATTGTTACATTGAAATTTGACACATTTAACGACACAGTTTATTTTTTTTCCAGCTAGCTTTCCATCACAAGTCAAAAGTCTTTGAACTTATGATTAAGCTTCATGGCCTGAAAGTGGTGAGTGTTTTTCCAGAAGGTTTCAGATTTTTTTAATGGCTGCCTTTACTGGATTTGATTCAAAATTTTCCAATGGGAAGCAAACAACTTTGATTCCACGTTTTTAACATATTATTTTATTTTATTGCTCTTCCCTGAGAGCACTTACAATCAACATATTTTTAAACATTTTATATTTGGCTATATTTTGTTGGTTCTTTGTTTTCTGTTATAATGGACTTTCAAAGATTAAGCGAATTTGCAGATTTTCCAAACAAACACATCTGTGCAGGACAGTGTGATATTAGAAAGTTCCTGAAATTAACTAATACAATGTAAATGCTTTCTGCATTACCCATTTGCTACAACAGAAAGTGAGGGAAATTGCCAACGGGTTTGCTTCAGGGAGAAAACTACTGTTTCGAAATGAAATACAAAGTTTACTGCATAGACCCTATTTTATTCTTAATCATGTTCAATTTGGGAGTATCCTCTTTCATTTATATACAAGGAAATGATGTCAGGAGATGATCTATTATTTTCAAAGGCAAAGGTTATCACACAGAAAACAAACAACTTTTTCTAGTTTATCCATTCACTCCAAATTGTTTTGCTGAATTAACACTCTTTACAGTGTTGTTAAATGTCACCTTTAAAGTGCTTAACAAAATAACACCGTGTTTAAAGTTTAGCTGCCTTTGGCCTAATGCTGTCTGCACTGCTCCTATTTCCTTCATCCTTGCTTGGCAAGGACATTTGGTCACACATACTCCCACACACATAGCTCACTATTCACTCTGATCTCCAGGGCTCTTCTTTCCATCCCCCGTCTATTTTGTATTATTATTCCAGGTTTCTTCCTCTTCCTTCCTTCCTCCCCACCCACTCAATCCAACTACCCACTGAAATCCTGAGTTCAGTTCCTCAGTAGTTTCCCCAAATTAGCACGTTGCTCCATTTCCTTGCAGAAATACTCTCGCATGCCTCCTTCCTCCTTCCAGACCACTAGCTCACCTTACCTCTACAATCATTCTTCAACCCCGGCTTATTCCAAGAGATTTAGACAGCTCCTTGCTCCTCCATTTTCCTTTCCATAACAAAACATTTCTTTGGAAAGTGCAGCCAAGAATCCTCACAAGCAAACTTAGTGAACCAGTACAATATGAAGGTTTTATACCAGATGAGAAATTGTGCAAAGCTGCGGTCACACTCAAGTGCATTATGGCTAGTGCCTTAGCTGATTGCATTTTCATTTGTAACACGGCAATACAGCCAAGAACTTGAATCAAGCTTACATGACAGCACGTTACCTAGGATTCCACGCTGTTACAAAGCTCTTCTGAATGACCCTAGATAATTGGGATGTGAAGTGATGCAACAGCCAGGACTTTCTAAAGAGTTTAACAAAAATATAATAGATACAAGAAGTGTGATATATGTACCTCTAGTAATTTCACATTTTTTCAACAATGACTTCAGATTGTTTCCGTTTAAAATGCAAAATAAATTTTCATTGTTAATCTTTAGATACTGTAAATAAATTAAGTTATTCATTTAGTTGTTCATTCAATAAATATTTACTGAATACCAACTACATGGCAAACACAATTTAATGTAAGTTCAGTAGCAATAAAGCCTTGGTTTGGAACTTACCATGAGCCATACGATGAAACCAGTAGTAACCAAAGTCAACTCCCAAGAAAGTTAAATACCAAGTCCATGGAGAATCCCAAGGCAAACTAATGAGTCTGTAGTTCTCCCAGATATAAACATAACTAGTCAGCTCAATGCTCCTGCAAAACAACCTGGAAAGATAAAATCTATCAGTAATGATTATACTATATTTTAGAGGTTAACTTATGCTAAAACACTTTAGATTATATACAAAAGTGACTTTGTTCCCATGTAAAAATAAAATCCTTTCCCTCTTCTTCTTGGTTTCTTACTGTTCTATCATGCTTTTGAAGAGGCTCAGTTCCCTTGGTATCCAAGTGATTCATACCATGTTTCCTTTTGTTTCACAGGCATCATGGATGCCAACTATTTCTCTATTTCATGGAACTTAGCAGGACATTCTTTTTAAGTGTCTCTTAAAAATACTTTTCGCAAAACCCACATAACATAAATATGACAAAACTATGACTATTTGCTGTGATTGTCATTTCTAAATCTTAATAAAGAACACAAGAAGGGTGCTTTTAAAGGAAATGTAAAAAGTAAAAAATTATAAGCAGCATGTTTTTAAAGAGGACTGCAAAATGCCCACTAATTTAACATGTCTTAATCCAAAAAGTTTAAGTTGCTTCTGCCTAACTCCGTCCTCTCTTCCTCTCTAATCTTTCCTTCCTCTTTCACACACACACACACACACACTTAAAGCTTTTTAGATATTTTTATTAGCATCTCAAACTGGATCCTCACAGCATTCCAATATTTCTTGTAATAACAAACTATAGATCAATACTTTCCCTAGAAGTAAACAAATGTTTCTAAAACCCATATAAAGTATCTCTTACCACCTATTCTACCAAGCTTCTGCAAATTCTATTTCAAGAACTTTCAAAAACATACATAGTATACTTCAATTTTATAAAGCGGAGTATTTTTCCTTTTAAGTTTTCTATGAGCAAACTTAAGATCAGACGCTAGCTAATCATTCCTTTTATCACTTTGACAGATAAGACTGAACTGACTTTTTCACTTATATTTATCATTCATATATAAAATGAATGATACTATCTAATAAAGATTTATTTACAAACCATGAACTGAGGAAGTTCTTAAATATACTAATTTTAAATAAAAGTCAAAGAAGCAGATCTTTAGTTTTCTCTTTATATTCATTCTTTTACCAATATTTCCCTTTACACAGTGAGCCTCTATGAATTAGCATGTTACTGGGTTTGCTGGAAACCCAGGTATTTACCTTTAATCTACTTTTGACTTCAATTATGATATGATTTTAACTGTGATTTATCGGTAAAACTGTGATTTTTTTTTTAAATAGCCCCATATTTTGAATTCTTCAAATTATTATTTAATCAGTAACACAAAACACTAGGCCTCTTCCCAATGGCACTAATACAAATAACCAATAGAAATGACAAACGCCTATACTTTCAAAAAGGATTATGCATCATCAGCTTTTAAAGCTCAATTTTCAATTTAAGATTATTCTCAGTTTATAAATTGGTGGTCACACAGGGAGAGTAAGAAGAGACTAAAGAATGAGACAGAACACTAGATTGGGATGTGGCAGTTTTTATAAACAAAGGAACTCAGAGCTGGTTTGTCCAGTGGCTACAGGACACAAATCTCCATACTCTCCTTCCAGAATCTTAAGAGTTTCCAGAAAGGTCCTCACTGGGTTCATTCATTTATTCAGTTGAGATGGCCTCAACAACACCTTACTCTCCCAAGGATTCATCCTTGAAACAGCTGCTAATAGCATGGGATTGTGGGTGGAACTTACATTCCACAGACAGGGGAGAGTGTAGCAGAGAGGGGAAGGGTAAGAAAGGTTCAGCTTATTGGTCAACTGGCATCACATCCTCTCCACGACCTCCTCCAACAATTATATGATTGGAAAGAGCCATTTTGTCCTTACGTGTGAGTCCTTGACCCAAGTGGGATGCCTACCCAGCACTCCTGTCACAACTCAGTCCAAGCCCTGGACACTCCAGAACCCCCTGACAGGTGGCCTTCAACCTGCTTTCAGGACCTGCTTGAGTCTCTTTCCTGGTCCAGACCTCCAGAGGGCCCACCTGTGGGTGTGGAAAAGTCTTCAAGATGACAAGGTAGATAAAAGTGGCTTTTTTGGACATGCAGACAGAGATGGGATGAGTAATCTGGGTATCCACACATAGGTATGCGAAGTCCCTCATGGGACAGGACAGACAATGGGCCAGGGGCTCTCAGCCTGTTCTGGGACTCTGAGGAATTCAAGAACTTGAAATTTGAAATGTGTCTTCTAGTTTGCCATTCAGGTTATTGATCAGGGTGAAATGTTAGTCGCTCATTGTGTCCAACTCCTTGTGACCCCATGGACTGTAGCCCTCCAGGCTCCTCTGTCCATGAAATTCTGCAGGCAAGAATACTGGAGTGGGCCACCATTCCATTCTCCAGTGGATCTTCCCAACCCAGGGATTGAACCCATGGTCTCCTCCATTGCAGGCAGACTCTTTACCATCTGAACAATGATCGTGGTAGCGGGGTGGGTAGAACAAATTTTATTGTAAAGTGAGTTAGCTTGGTTGGTAACTCATATCTAGACTATGACTTCTGAACAGTGTCATTCATTAATGACATTCGGACAAGATAATTCTCAGTTGTAGGGGTCTGGCTTGTGAAAACAATTACCCAAATTAACGAAACTTAACATGGCTCCTTAGGACTCAGTGGTAGAGGACTGGCCAAATAAAATTCAAGTTCTAGGTTAAAAAAATGGTGAATAATATGAATTTTAAATGGTCTAACTTAAGTTTTCTCAGAGATTCTAAAGTTTGACACTGTTGCCTTTGGGGCCAGATAATTCTTTGTTGTGGGGGGTCGGTCCTGTGCATTATAGGAGGGTTAGCACCATCCCCAGCCTCTACTGACTGCATACCAGCAGCGCAGTCCTCCACTTCCGTTGTGACAACAAACTGTCCAACTGTCTCCTGGGACAAAACCGTCCCAGCTGATAACCCTAAATACAAAAAGACTGATCCAGAAAGAAAAAAATTAAGACTCAGAAAATGCAACGGAAAGTTGAAATGATCTGCAGTCTTTTGACATTTATTTTTTGTTTTTTTGTTTTTTTTTTGTTTTTTTTTTTTTTGTTTGTTTGTTTGTTTGTTTTTAATTTTTATTAGTTGGAGGCTAATTACTTTACATCATTACAGTAGTTTTTGTTATACATTGATATGAATTAGCCATGGATTTACATGTATTCCCCATCCCAGTCCCCCCTCCCACCTCCCTCTCCACCCGATCCCTCTGGGTCTTCCCAGTGCACCAGGCCCGAGCACTTGTCTCATGTACCCAACCTGAGCTGGTGATCTGTTTCACCCTAGATAATATACATGTTTCAATGCTGTTCTCCTGAATCATCCCACCCTCGCCTTCTCCCAGAGTCCACAAGTCTGTTCCATACATCTGAGTCTCTTATTTTAGTACATAGTGTCAAAGCAGGTCAACTCATGAATTCGTTCAATCTTTCAATGAATTTGCATCAAGAATCTACTGGGTGTCAGGCACAGCACAAAAAAAGGGAAGACACATCAGTGAAGAGGGCAAATACAGCCACCTGCCTCATCAGTGTCCCACCAGTTCAGTATCTCTTTTCAAAGTTGCTGTCTTTCTTGTCAAGTTTTCCAGTGACAGTTGAAATAGGCTTTCAGATACCAAGATTTCAATAAAAGGAATGGGGGATCCCTGGAAAACTTCCATTTGTAAAACAAAAAGAACCTGCCTGCAATTGAAATGTTTCTTTATTTCCTGTACAGGTGCCAGGTCTTGAGCAGGCACTCAATTTATTATTCTGTCAACTTACTTATTAGGGTTGACACAAATCGAGCTGAAATATGCCTGACATACTACAGTCAAGACTTTTTCTATTTTTTTTTTTCACACCTTAGCACAAAGCTAAACTTTTTCAAGGTAAAGAGGAAGAGAGGAGAAGCTGTGGGAATTAAATCCCCAGCTCTCTATCAGCAAGATGGATATGATCCTCTTCCATCATAAATGGGGAAAAAACAGCCATGGAGTGCCCACAACTAGAAACAATTCAGCAAGGGATACAGCTGGGAAATGATTATCAAGCCCTGCAAAGCTCTTGATTGCAGGAAATAGCACCTACATTTTCAAAAATATTCCCACCAGACCCAGAATTGTAAAGCTAAACCTTTTCCTCTTTCTCTTCCCAATTCCGCCATTCTCCCCCTGCTTATGACTTTGCACTCTGGAATTCAAACAATTCTAAGCCCTATTCTGAGGGAAGAGACATATGCAATTTGCGTATGCAGTGAGCTTACTTTATTATACAGAGATGGAAATGAGGTAGTGAAGGGGCTTTGGATAACCAAATGCAAGATCCCTTTTTCATGAAGTTTGAGTGCAAGAGCAAGAACTGAAGAGGATCTAAATAGAAGGAGGCATTAGACCGCTCATCAACAGCTTGTACACCTAGAGGCTCCCCTCCCATTGTCCTGTATTTTTTATAAATTCTTCCCAAATAGCTATTTCTCTTAGGCCTGAGGCATATCTGTTGGCAAATGAAAGATTGCCCATTTTTAATGTGTTTTATTTAACATTTGCTGTTCACAGTAGAAATCTGTCCAGACTAGTGGTTGCCAAGGGGTAGGGGGTTGGGGGAGAGATGGAGTGGAAGGTTGGGGTTAGCAGACAGAAGCTTTTATATTGTTGCTCTTCAGTCACTAAGTGGTGTCCAACTGTGCAACCACATGGACTCTGGCTCACTAGGTTCCTCTGTCCATGAGACTTCCCAGGCAAAAATCCTGGAGTGTGTTGACACTTCCTTCTTCAGGGAATCTTCCTGGACCAGGGATCAAATCTATGTCTCTTGCATTGGCAGGCAGATTCTTTACCACTGAGCCACCAGGGAAGCCCAAGCTTTTATATAAAGAATGGATGACAACAAGGTCCTACTATATAGCACAGAGAACTATATTCAATATCCCATGATAAACTATAATGGAAGAGAATATTTAAAAAATAATTATATATATAATTGGATATACATAATTATATAGATATATTACTGAATCGCCTTGCTGTGCAACAATAATTAACGTATTATAAATCA